GGCCAGGAACATGGGAAAGCTGGCCGGGGCTCCATCAAATTTCTCAGGCAAAGCCACTGGGTACTTGCCCGGAGCCGGGCGTCGGCCCCAGGAGCCGGTAGGGCTTCCAAGCGTTGCTGAAGTGCCACAACCGCGTCGCTGAGCTGCTGCACGGTGTGATTCAAGGCCTGGTTCTCCTGGGCCAAAGCCACCAGTGCAGCCGCCTGTTCAGCCATGGCCTCTGGCTCTTCCCGAACGCACCCCTACGAAGGGGAAGTGCGGGTGTGGCGGGAGCAAACTGTGCTGGTCCCGGGGTAAGGTACCTTGGGTGTAGCAGAGTCCACACGAAGAGGGGCAAGGTCCGAGGCAGAGAGCCGGGCGGGGAACAGGAATGCTGGAACAGGAGGCTGTGCAGGAAACAGGAACACCGGATGGTCGGGAACAGGAGGCCGAGCAGGGAACAGGAGTACCGGATAGTCAGGAACAGGAAGCCGAGCAGGGAACAGGAGTACCGGATAGTCAGGAACAGGAAGCCGAGCAGGGAACAGGAGCACAGGAAGGTCCGAAGCCAACAACGACGTTGCTCCCGCAACCTGGGGCCGGGCTGACTGGGCTTTTATCCTCTTCTAAGGCCAGGTCGGTCCCGGTCCCCAGGAGCCCCGCCTCCTCTGGCCTTAAGGCGAGCACTCCTCCTGGGGGCAACCAGTTCCCTTCGCCTCTCTGCCCTAAGCCTCTGCAGATCAGGAGAGGCCGAAGGGTTACTGGGCCCTGGAGGAGGCTCACCTGTGGCCACTGAGTCATCAAGCCCCTCTGGGGCCAGAAGGGCTTCACCTGGGGCCAGCTCCTGATGCACTGCCACAGGTGCAGGCTCTTCAGCATCTAGGCCTTGCCCCAGTTCAGCCGGCCCTGGAGGCGGGGACTCCTGTGCAGGCTGGGATTCCTCTGTTTCATCCTCCGAATCGGAATCCCAGGCCATCACAGTTCCTGACCTCACCCGACTCCTTGCCTTGGACCCCACTTCAGCCTTGACAGACAGCCCCCATACCACACCCTCGACCTCGGACTGGACTCGGACTACGGTAATCCCCCGGGACCAGCACATTTTCCAAGTTGGTGGCCATCACTCCATCAAAGAATCATAGAATTGTAGAGTTGGGGTTGTCAAGTCCAACCCCTTGTAATGCAGGAATGTGCAGTTGTCCCACATGGGGATCAAACCTGCGACTTTGGCATTATCTGCACCATGCTCTAATCAACTGAGCTATGTGGCAGCAAATTCCACATGTGCTGTGTCCTTCCCCAGTGGGTTTCCCCTCTGGGCCCAAAGAGCTGGTCAGGCTTTCCCACTCATGGCACGCGTTGCCATCATGACTGGGTCCAGATCCTTCCCATCCACCAACCTCCCTTTCTTCTGCTTTCCTTCCATCCTGTGAACAACAAGCTACTACAGACCCTTAAATGTTGGCTTTTCCCCTGGCGCTGCCTTTGGCACACTTTTCTTCCGTTGGAATAACTTATTGACTCGACTGAATCTTCTTGGCTGCTTTGCTGTTGCTGCTGGTTTCACATTTCCTGTTGTTTTCGCAGTTGCTGTTTGGGGTGGGAAGCAGAAGCATCACACACACATTTCCATCAATGTACAGCAATGTTCAGTAGATGAATTTTTATTTTTATTTTTAATTTTAGAGATTTCTCTCGCCCTTTCTGCTAAAGGAGCCCAGAGCAGCACTGTGCTTACTTTGCACTCAAATGAGTGGGGTGGAATAGTTTAACTTATGTCAATTATGTAAGTTCCACATTTTCACCGCAACGGACAGGAAGGTGAGTAACTTACATTTTAGCAGATGAGGAATAATAGTATTGGAATGGAAGCGGTGCTGCATGCAACAAGCACTGGCGGAAGAAGAGGAGTGCGGGGGGAGCGCACCGCCCCCGGCAGCGCGATCCTGGTAGGGTGACATCGCGGCTGCCCCCCTGCCCGCGCTGGGCGCCATGCCCCTGCAGGCGGCGTGCCCCACCCCCAGGACATGCGCCACGCCCCTGCAGGCATATGCCCCGCCCCAGGATGTGCACCAGGCCCCTGTGGGCGGCATGCCCCGCCCCCAGGATGTGTACCAGCCCCTCCCCCACCTCCTCTCCACCCCCCCCCCGGTGCCGGAGCATGAAGCTCCGCCACTGGCAACAAGTACAGGGAGGAATGGGAAATGGTGCCCAGCTTACTTACTTGGAAGAGCAGTATGGAGGCCCACCACCACCACCATGAATGAACTGTGGCCAGAGACAATGAATTCTCCTGAAGAGAAAACAAAAGTCTGAAGCTACCTACCTGCCTCCGCCATTTCATGTGTGTTGATTGTACTGGTGCCTCATGTCATCTGATCTGCTGAGGGTCTGGTGTTTAAAGAGGAGTCACAGAGCAGTGGGGTCTTCAGCTGCAGCACTAACATCCCAGACCTGCCTTATTTAAATACATGGCAGGTTGATTGCAGTATTGAGAAGACCATCATCCCCTCCCACCCCAACCACACTTTGCAGGGCCACTTGTGGGGGCAGCTGGTAGGGCAGCTCCCCCAAATTTGGCAGGTAAGTTTCTATAGAATTTTTTTATTTTTTATTTTTGTATTAGTGGGACTGGGGATATTAACTATGTATGTGTGAATGGACTAGTTATAGTCTCACATTTCTTCTTGTAGCTATACCCCTGCTTTAAGCCATTTACATACTGTCTTCTTTTGTATATCATTTACTACAAAGGTATGCTTTAATTATGCATTCTCAATGTATTTTTAATTTTAGTTTTTCTTATTCTACGTGTTAATTCAGTGCAATTCTGTTGCAATAGATCTTGACAGCTCGATGACTAAGAGATTTAGCGACGACACTTCGGATTGCCTGAGCACTGACCCACTGGTATATCACAAGTGGAAACAATATTTACTGTGTTTGCTAGTTTAAGATAAAACAGATTTGATAAAAACATGGCAGCTTGATTGTAGTATTGAAAAGAGCACCATCCATTCCCACCCCACCCCACTTTGCAGGGCCACTTGTGGGGGCATCTGGTAGGGCAGCTCCCCCAAATGATGGAGCCTTAAAAGTAGGAGAGCAAAGAGCTCAAAGACAGAGGGCATATAGCAACACCTGTAGAGGTGGTGGTGATGATGTTGACGATGATGAATGAAGAATGAGGAAGTGGGGGAGATGGGGGAGGTTGAGATTCACTCGGGACAATATCATTATCCAAGAGTCTGGGTTCTATAGCCTCTCTCTGTAAATTTTAAATTAAAAAAGGACAGTAAGAAGCCTTCCCTTCCTGGGCAACCAGTCGGGAGCTGCTGACAGCATCCTGACACCCGCCCACTCAAGCCTTAGACGTGAGTGTGGAGGTGTGCAGGAGGGAGGACCAAAGGTGGTTGTAGCACCTTGTCCAATGCCCTGCCCCATAGGCTCACATCCAGACCCTTTATTATTTTATTTTACTTTATTTTATAATTTTATAATTTTTATTTTATATTTTAGCCCATTTCCTTCCTGTTAGAAACAATGGTAGGGAAATAAATGGGATTGATTTATACCAACACTTGGGCAGGCATGCATGAGTTCCTGGTTTGGGAATATGTTGTGTGAATAATAATAATAATTTATTATTTATACCCTACCCATCTGGCTGGGTTTCCCCAGCCACTCTGGATGGCTCCCAACATAAAATTAAAAGCACAATAAAACGTCAAACATTAAAAACTTCCCTAAACAAGAAGGCATTAGATCCTTTGGATCCAAGTCATCTCATGGCCCTCCTCTGACATTAGACCAAACTTTCACCAAACAATGTTCCATTTTTTAGCATTTAGTTATTGGATCCCAGCCTCTAACATTGCTGGGCTACGGCTGCAGAGGTTTCCATGGCAGTAGGGGGTGCGGATCTGACATCAGATGTCCCGCTCTGTGGTTGGAGCTCTGTCTTTGATTCTGGAGAGATCTGGTGTAGATTATGGCCCCTGGGATGTTCACCGTAAGGAACAGGGGACGATAGCCATAGTTGCCTTTTTCTGAAATTAAAATACCACAATATCATAGCCTTTCCTTGTAGAGACAGTATTGCTTCCAAGTTTCTCTCTGCCTCTGTTTCTTCATGAGTTTCTTTCATCCCCTCAATACCTAGAACCGCTTTCCTTGTGATGTAGAGCCTTCTACATTCTAGGAACACCTCCCACTCAACTTATGCTCTTTCCTGATTGGCTATCTGCCATGCCTAATAGGAATTCCACAGAAAGGAAAAACCCAGGGAAAATGTTCATTTCATATCTACTATATTGCTTTCCCCCAAAAAAGAATTGTTACTACAGTTTGCAAAGATGCTGCAAGGAAAGAGCTTTGGCACAAGACAGGAAAAGAGGTGTAAGGGGATCTGTCCTCCACCCCAATGTCAGAGTTCTTCCAATTGGCAGTCTGGAAACTGAGCAGATCTGGCTATCAAAGTTGGGAGTCTCCGAAGCAATTGATCTATGGCTATTAGTCAAATAAACATGCTCATGTATTTGCCTACTCAGAGGTTAGGCTTATTGCATGATTGCAGCTTTGATATGATGTACTGGGGTGATCTGTAATTCAGCGAGCAATACATTTTGACCTGATAGGCTCTTGCTTTTTAATCTGCAAGAACGTATAAGCTGGCTTCTACTGAATATCCTCCTTTCTTTTCTCTTTCTGCTATTCCTGCATTGCTGCCTTGGCCCAAGACAATATTGCTGAATTGCTGAAGGACCCACAATGGAAGATGCATAACAGGGCCTTGTACTACTTTTCCAACGAGAAACAATCGTGGGAAGAGTTCGGAAAGCATTGTATTAAGAAAAAAAACTTCGTTAATTCTGTCAGCAGTGGTGAAGAACAGGTTAGCAGAACACTGGGATGCATAAAAGGCAAAGAAAAAGTCTCACAGGTGTTTTGTTTTGTTTTTTGTTTTTTGCACATGAACATTTTATTGCCTCCAACTCTCCTGTAATCAGAAAAAAGGTGGAGGAGCACCTTCACAAGGTCCATGCTCCAATGAAGGGAGCATATTAGAGGTGTGCAGAAATAAAAGCAACAACAGACAATTTAGACAAAATATTACACAGTTACACATTAAAATGTTACATTAATGCAACGTTACTAATAAGCTCTTAATACAGGATGGCAAATATGGTCTAATAGGCATTACTGAAACCTGGTGGGATGAGACTCATGAATGGAATGTAGAAATTGAGGGTTATAACATGTTCAGAAGGAACAGACCAAACAGGAAGGGGAGAGGAGCAGCATTATATGTAAAGGATATGTACACTTGTGGTGAGATCCATGACCTGGAGCATAGAAAGCAGGATGAACGTATATGGGTAAAAATTGTAGGTGAGGGAAAGAACAGTCGTCTTACTATGAGGGGAGAGACTTCACCAGGCAAGGCCTCCTTCCGCCTGCCTTGCCCCACCCCCTGGTCCTGGGATTCTTCATAAGGAAGCTGTGTCTGGAGGAAGAACTGTGAGGGGAGAGACTCCATCAGGCAAGGCCTCCTTCCACCTGCCTTGCTCCACCCTCCTGTCTCTGCTTCTCATTTTGTATTGTATTATGTTGTGCACTGTGGTTTGCTGTTGTTTTATTGATTGGAGTTTAGAAATTACTTATTGTAACTGTTGAGTGGATTTCTGTTTAATTTTGAACCGCTGATATTTAATATTATTCTGTATTGTTTTAATATACGTTGAATGTTATTTTATTTGCATATTGTATATTGTATTATGCATTTTGTCTTATTTATGTAATGTTAGCCACTCTGAGCCTGGCTTTGGCTGGGGAGAGCGGGATACAAATAAAATTTATTTATTTATTTATTTACTGAGGGTGTCTGCTATAGCCCTCGAAGGCAGAGGACTTTGATAATGCCTTCGTAGAGCAGATGACCAAACATTCAAAAAGGAGAGAGATAGCAGTCATGGGAGACTTCAACTACCCTGATATCTGTTGGAATTCAAACTCTTTCAAGAATGGAAGGTCCAACAAATTCCTCAGTTGCCTCACTGACAATTTCATTTCTCAGAAGGTGGAATATGCAACAAGGGAATCATCTCTCTCAGACCTGTTCAAAAAGGGAGGAACTGAGGGACAAAGTGGAAGTACTGAAGTGTGGGTCAAATAGTGGAAAGAAGACCCACTTGCACCTCATTGGAGAAGACCACGCACAGTTCTGCTGACATCACAAAGAACTGTTAAGGTTGCGGGAGTGCTGCTATGGATTCACCATACACGAGTTAAGAGATCTGAAGGCCTTTTCAAGTCCATCAACCTATATAATGTCTTGTTTGGTTATTTACTCCATAGGCAACTGAAGTGTCATGGGGCCTTGGAACACACTGAATGTTCATTCAGAGGTCTATAGTGTGTTATGGAAAGAGTTCTGAAAGAAAGTGTGGCTATGATTTTCATAAAATAATGCTCTTTCTTTCTCCCTCCTTCCCTCTCTCTGGAAATGAATGTTAAAAGAGAAAGGAACAGGGGAATGCGAGATAGTAGTCATTTGCTTTGATTCAGCGATAAAACAGTTTTAATTTATTAGCAAATAAATGATCCCAGAATCAATCCTAGACATACTTTAGGCTGGAAATTACTTTTGCCACAAAGCCTGTAATGGTCTTACTCAGCATTTTAAAAATAAAATCTCAATCTATATATATATTGCAGACTTTTCTGGGGGGGGGGAATGTGTTGTATATTAATGCTTATATAACAGATGGCTCCCTGTGGAGCTCAGAAATCACTGCTTAAGACCTCAGGGTCTACCAGAGTCACCTGCAACTCAATGATCAAAGCAGCACCAGATGTCTGCATCTATGTGCCATATTAATTCCCTACAGTTCCTGAGAGTGATGCTATATTGTGAGCATTGTGTGACACTAAGCAGGCATCTAGACTGGTGCTAATGCTTCCCACAACCAAATAACCCTGACCGAGTAAGAGGCTCATCAGAGGCTACTTTGCTCCAGGTCCCTCTAAGCTGCACCTGGCCGTGTTCACCAGACCTGCGCCTCCCCTGGGCTTTGCATGCTTCTTCTGACATGCACACATGGGCATTTGGTCCTTAAATTCTCAAAATAGGAGATGGCCAAGGCTGGGTTGAAAACTGTGCCAGAGGCCCCATCGAAGTAGTACCCCTTCAACTTAGGCTGGTGAGGAGCACAAGGCCATATCCACACCAATAGCGGTTTAGTCTTGCTGGCCACATGACCTGGAAAGCTGTCTGTGGACAAACGCTGGTTCCCTCGGCCTGAAAAGCAAGATGAGCGCCGCAACCCCACAGTCACCTTTCACTGGTCTTAACTGTCCAGGGATCGTTTACCTTTACCTTCTACCTAAACTACAGTTCCTGGGATCCTTTGTGGGAAAGGAATGTGCTTTGAGTGTCTGGTGTTGATGTGACCAAAATGTGGTCTCCTAGTAACTTGAGAGGCGCCCTAAACATGCCTAAGGGAGTTCCTCCATATTCCCGCTTCACTTAATCAGAAACCGAGAGAGATTTCTTCTCACCAGTGGTTCCAGACCCACCAGCTGCCTGCTTTCTAATAATTAAAAGGTATTGCTGTTCTGAAGTGGTCAGCAAAGAACAGCCATCAATCTCTCATTGGGAAGCCCTGTTCTGTGACATCGCTATTGCCCTTTTTGTGTAACTTGTAGTGTACAGTGGTACCTCAGGTTAAGCACTTAATTCGTTCCGGAGGTCCGTTCTTAACCTGAAACTATTCTTAACCTGAAGCACCACTTTAGCTAATGGGGCCTCCTGCTGCTGCCGCGCCGCTGGAGCACGATTTCTGTTCTCATCCTGAAGCAAAGTTCTTAACCCGAGGTACTATTTCTGGGTTAGCGGAGTCTGTAACCTGAAGCATATGTAACCTGAGGCATGTGTAACCCGAGGTACCACTGTATAGATAGTGAATGTCAAAATAATAGATACAAAGTAAGAACACAAGTGGTGTTGCATATGTAATACTTTACTTAATTGATTTAAAGGAACTGGGTGCTTTTGAAGCACCCAGATGGGTTTAGGCTCATTTTGAACAGAAATCAAAGAGCACATTTTTATTCCTTTAAAGGCTTCTACCTCTCCCATTTCTGATCTGGAGCCTTCTTGCAGATAAATGACATTTTGTGCCAACAGGCAGCATCGCGCCAACAATATCTATGTCTGCATTTCTGTGTGATATAAACACAGTTGTCATCTGGCGATGCGCTGGGCTGCTTCATCTCAGTATCCCAGAATCTGAAAAAAAGATGGCAGCACAAATCAATTCAAACTAAATGTTTGCTTTATTTTCTTCGTTGGAGCAATAAATATACGTATGCAGGAACATTGCGGAGATAGGTTTCTCACCAAGGGCTCCTGAGAAAACGAAGCAATCAATGATAACAGTTTCAAATGGCTACTAAATGTCTTGCAGCTATTAAATACCCCCCCCCCTTGCACCTCCTTTACAATTTTTTAAACTAAAAACCCAATGTTTTAGAATGTTCCTCTTGTTAGCAGAGGAAACAAGCCAGAAAGAAACCCGTGTCTGGCTTTTTATAATGTGTGAACCCAAACACATGTTTTGTTTCTCTCCAAACAAACCACTATCAGTTAACTTCCCTCACCCCTAAAGAAAACCCATTGGCTTCCACTTGCCATCTACTTGAATAGAAACAAGTCATGGGTGGTATTCACTGCTAATTCTAATCAGACCTATTGAAGTTAATGGATTAAGCTAGGTCCATGCATAATGAAGAGCAGATCCCTGTGCCTGAACTAACACGGGAAAGTTTCAAAATCTGAGTGCAAACAGAAGTGACAAGAGCTAAGTTTCTAGACCCTACTGACAAATTAAAAGTTGACAAATGAAAATGGATTTCTGGGAGTCTGTGTGCAATGAAGGCATTAAGAATGTTTATTTACAAACTCACACTTCAAGAACTGCTGAACCATCAAGCCATTCCAATCCATTCAGTTTTTTGTTATTCTTCCTTAGTCCTATCCAGAAGTGTTTCTTAAACTTAGCTCCTTCATTGTTTATAAAGTCCTGCAAAAAAGCACAACCAGAAAGAAGAAATGAGTGTCTAGATTCCCCTTTCAAAGGTTTCCAGAGAGTGGCTCATCCCCAGGGAGACACTAAAACATTACAGACCTGTAAAATAATACTAATCTTGTGATAACTTAAAGACGATCGCTTTTTATTATGGCTTAAGCTTTAGGGAACTAAAGTCCACTTTGTCAGATGCATCTGATGAAGCAGGTTCGAGTTCTTTAAAGCTTATCCTATAAAAAGAGGAGCTAGATTGTGTATTCCTGGCATTGGGCAGTTGAGACAGATACGGGATTTTGCTGATTTCCCACCTGCTTCTTTGGCAGCGGTCAAGGTGTGAGGACTAAGTCTCACCCAGCTGTGCCCACTTGGGAACTCAGTGCAGCCCCAGGGCAGACTGGAGGGTCAGGGAGGAGGAGTTGCTGTGGTCTACAGAAATTCTCTCTCTCCAGGCTCTCTGTCCAATTAATGAGGGGAGCTAGATTGTGTGTTCCTGGCATTGGGCAGCTGGGACAGAAATGGGGTTCTGCTAATTTTCCACCTGCCTCTCTGCCCAGCAGCCTCCCTGCCTGAGCTGATAGAGGACACTCAGACTGCTGGTTTTTAGGAACTTAAACATCCATGCTGAGGTGACCGGCTCTGGGATGGCTCAGGACTTACTTCTACTCAACATTGTTCCAGAGTAGATTCCAATGTATAGTTTGCAGAGTAAAAATGTAAACAAATTGCAGGATTCCCCCCAAAATAGACCAGAGGCAATTTAATTTCATCCAGCAGAGCTTTACTGCTACTGAAGGCAAATTAGCATAATGGTGGTCACAAATCCAATACATTCAGGATTGGCACTGTCCATAAGAAATCCAGTTGCAGCAAACCTAACTTAAACTTACAATAATTTATAATAAGCCTAAACCTTAACACTAAGCATACTATGTGCAGAACAGCACACCAGACGGAAAAGAGACAGAAAGAGAGAGTGAGACCCAGGCTCCTTCTGGCCCTACTTTTATAGCCAGCATGACCGTGACTGAAAAAGATAAGAGAACCAGTTTAAGCCGGCTGTACTCAGCTTCTCTGAAAGCATAACCCAAACATCATGAACTTTCTGCTTGTTTCTTTCACACAGAGAAGGTTCCAGAACCTTATTGAATTAGAATAGGAAAGATCTCTACACATCTGATCAATACTTTTTGTACTAAGAAATGCAAACTGAGAGTTACTGGCCCAAGGCGTGTGGCAGGCCACATTCTGGACCTATTTCTCAAGTAGGCAGGAACAAGGTGATCTGAAAGTGGGGGATATTCATATCAGCCCCTTGTCATGGTCAGAATGCTTCCTGTTGAGATCTTCTCTCCTCTGCAGAGGCAGAAGACCTATTTTGATGGTCTTGGAGGCTAATGGATCCACTGACTTTTCAGACAGCTCTACTGGTTTTTCTGGATGATATGACTGGTGCTCCAGTTGAAGCCCTGGATTACCTCTGGAATATCTGAATGGCTCAGACTATTGATATCATTCAGCCCACATTTTACCAGCTTCCTTGCAAGAATATCATGGGGGACTTTGTCAAAAGCCTTACTGAAATCAAGGTACACTATGTCCACAGCATTCCCCTGATACTCCAAGCTTGTAACTCCATCAAAAAAGGAAATGAGATTCATCACACCAACTTGTTTTTGAGAAACCCACGCTGGATCTTAATAATGACAGCATCCTTTCCTAAGAGCTGGTAGATCAACTACCGTATAAGCTCCTTATGCAGCCACACAGTTTCTTTAGGTGCCTCCCACTTTTCCTCCTTGTTGCAATTGTCTTCATTTGTGCCTTCTATACTTCACCTTTAAGAAAATCCAAGCCATCTTGGACCTGCCCCCCTTCTCTTTGAGTATTTCTGACCATGGGATTCACACAGCAATTCCTTAAGCTTTTTGAAATCAGCCTTCTTAAAGTCCAGAGTGCATGTCCAACTACACTCAGTTTTTCTTTGCCTCTCTCTTATGAAACCCAGGAGAACATGATCACTTCCTCCCAAGATTGCCAGTACTTCCACTTTGTCCATCAGTTCCTCCCTTTTTGAACAGGTCTGAGAGAGATGATTCCCTTGTTGCATATTCCACCTTCTGAGAAATGAAATTGTCAGTGAGGCAATGGAGGAATTTGTTGGACCTTCCATTCTTGGAAGAGTTTGAATTCTAACAAATATCAGGGTAGCTGAAGTCTCCCATGACTACTATCTCTCTCCTTTTTGAATGTTTGGTCATCTGCTCTAGGAAGTCCTTATCAAAGTCCTCTGTCTGAAGGGCTATAGCAGACACCCACAGTAAGACCACTGTTCTTTCCCTCACCTACAATTTTTACCCATATACGCTCATCCTGCTTTCTATGCTCCAGGTCATGGATCTCACCACAAGTGTACATATCCTTTACATATAATGCTGCTCCTCTCCCCTTCCTGTTTGGTCTGTTCCTTTTGAACATGTTATAACCCTCAATTTCTACATTCCAGTCATGACTCTTATCCCACCGGGTTTCAGTAATGCCTATTAGACCATATTTGCCATCCTGTATTAAGAGCTTATTAGTAACGTTGCATTAATGTAACATTTTAATGTGTAACTGTGTAATATTTTGTCTAAATTGTCTGTTGTTGCTTCTATTTCTGTACACCTCTAGTATGCTCCCTTCATTGGAGCATGGACCTTGTAAAGGTGCCCCTCCACCTTTCTTCTGATCACAGGAGAGTTGGAAGCAATAAAATGCTCATGTGCAACCCCCCTCCCCCCAAAAAAAACCTGTGAGACTTTTTCTTTGCCTTTTATGCACCCCAGTGTTCTGCTAACCTGTTCTTCACCATTGCTGACAGAAATTAACGAAGTTTTTTTCTTAATACAATACTTTCTGGACTCTTCCCACGATTGTTTCTCGTTGGAAAAGTAGTACGAGGCCCTGTTATGCATCTTCCATTGTGGGTCCTTCAGCAATTCAGTAATCTTGTCTTGGGCCAAGGCAGCAATGCAGGAATAGCAGAAAGAGAAAAGAAAGGAGGATATTCAGTAGAAGCCAGCTTATACGTTCTTGCAGATTAAAAAGCAAGAGCCTATCAGGTCAAAATGTATTGCTCGCTGAATTACAGATCACCCCAGTACATTATATCAAAGCTGCAATCCTGTAATAAGCCTAAACTCTGTGTAGGTAACTACATGAGCATGTTTATCTGACTAGTAGACAAAGATCTATCTTCACTGTGATATCATTACTTTCCTTCCCCTTTTGGGGTGTGTGTCCATCAATGGATTTCTATACCAGTAGGGCTGAGCAAGACCCTCCCCCCCTTGCTCCAGTGCCCAATTCAGAACCTTGGATCCAGGGAAAGTTGCTCCCCTTGGATCCAAAATCCGAAGCAATATTTGGAAAATGTAAGTTTCAACTCTCCCTTTGACTTGCATTGGGAAAGCATGATAACCATAACTTTTTGTTTTCTGTTTCACAAGGTGCCTGAAAACTGCAAACATAGTAGCCCCCAACGCAGAGATTCAGTCCTTCCCAGTTTCAGGCAGATTCAGAGCCCCTAAATGGGTATCTTTATACATCTTTATACATCTTCAAGGTCAGGAGCTCCTGGTTATGAGCTCTCAGAAGCTGCAATCAGCTACATAGAACTGCTGCAGGCTGCTAACCCCTCTCCCAACTCACTTCCTCATCCAGCCTGGCTTCTTCTCCTAAGTGCTCTTCTGCTGCATACAACGCAGGTTGCACTTTGGGTTCTACTCTTCATTTGCCTTATGACCAATGTGGCCAATAACCCAAATACAGAATATGTGATTTCAGCTTATATATTTCCATTGGCAATTTTACTCTTCCAACAAAACAGCTTCCTTTCCTATTCCCAAAGCTGGTAAATTCATTTTACTTTCTGGAGTGGAGATTGAGAAAAAAAAATGCACTAAATATTGTGTTTTCAACCAAACATACATCTCAGAACCAGCTTCAACTACAGCTAAGGGGCTGTGTGCATTGGATGGTAGGACATCTGCACCTCCAGGAGCTCTGTAAAAGAGGATTTCTTTTTAATCAGGTGCTGAGCCTCAGAGCGAGTTCCCCCTGTGCTCCAGTTTTTCAGCACCACAGTCGCAAAGTAACTCACCAATATCAGATTTAATTTCATCGTTTCGGAGAGTCGAGTTGAGCAGTTCGTCTGCTAAGCCTTGAGCTACAGCGAGTATTTCAAGGTCTAAAAGGTTTGAAACAATTCAAATCAGGGGAATTATTAAGAAACCATTTCTCAAGAGTTTGCCACACCCTGGCATGAAACAAGAAGCAGAACTTTGGACAGCAGCACCAGTCCAGTAACAAAAGCCCTCTGGGAACACATAGTTCTAGAGATTAATGCCAGTACAGGGCATAGGGCTGCTTTGCACCATTAGTTATGTCTATCATCTATGATGGATGGAGAAAATGCTGGCACTATTTGTAAACTTTTATTTATTTATCCAACGAAAGCAGCAACAGGCGCTATTTAACACAATTTCATTGTGAAAGAAACCTGCTCCACTTTCAGTTTTTCCCGCCAATGAGCAAAGTCAAAGTTGTGGCAAACAGGAGAATCCTGTTGGTACCCCTACATATGAAAGGTAAAGGTAAAGGTAAAGGACCCCTGGATGGTTAAGTCCAGTCAAAGGCAACTATGGGGTGCAGTGCTCATACAGTCACACCTCAGGTTACAGACGCTACTGGTTGCGGGGTTTTTGGGTTATGGACGCCCCACAACCTGGAAGTACCAGAACGGGTTACTTCTGGGTTTCGGTGGTCGCGCATGCGCAGAATCACAACCCGCGCATGTGCAGATGTGGCACTGCGGGTTGTGAACATGCCTCCCGCATGGATCACGTTTGCAACCCGAGCGTCCACTGTATTGCTTTTTAGGCTGAAGGAGCTGGTTTTTGCCCACTGACAGCTTTCCAGGTCATGTGGCAAGCATGACTAAATAGCTTCTGGTGCAACGGAACACCGTGATGGAAACCAGAGCGCATGGAAACGCCATTTACCTTCCTGCCACAGCAATACCTATTTATCTACTTGATCTGGTATGCTTTCAAACTGCTAGGTTGGCAGGAGCTGGGACAGAGCAACGGGAGCTCACTCCATCGGGCGGAACCGCTGACCTTAATATCTGCAAGCCCAAGAGGCTCGGTGGTTTAGACCATAGCGCCACCCCTGCAAATAGCCTTTGTATGCATACCTGAATAAGCAAGGGCTGTAATAAAAAAGGCCAGACAAGAGTTGGCCCAGCAGCTGCAACAGCAATCCCTCTCTCTGTTCAGTGTCATCTATGGAAATGGTAGCAGTGCACATTATGTACACGCATGCTTCTGATTTTGTGCAAATCTGAGGGATCCAGCAGAGCATATTTTAAATAATTGTGAGAACTGCAGGAGATGGGATGAAACTTCGGAGGGCACAGTGGGCATAGAAAGGGGAGCAGCAGAAAGTGACTATTGTTCCACCAAACCAGAAATACAGTAACAGAACAAAGCATTTGCAACTCCAAGTAGAGCAGTTTGGAGCCTGATTCCCCCTACCTCAACCTTTTGAGTCCACGGCTCCCTTGACCAACTACATTCTGTGGCAGCCCTGTGGGGCTCAGGAGTCCAGTTACGTTACCCCTTGCGTGCAGATCTGGCAGCCTCTCACCCTTTTGTGAACACTCTCCCTTGTGAAGTGCTCCCTCAGCCTCCTCTCCTTTCTCTTCTCCTCTCCTCAAGAGTCTTCCGGGCAGTCACTGCTGCCACCCCTGGTCTCTGAGCTGCCCCCACCCCCACCCCAAAGAGAGATGCTTCCTCACACTGCCTCACAGGGGCCTGGGACTTGTCTGTCCATTCCCAACAGCAAGGGCAGGTGAACTGGCTGCCTGGGCTCCCTCGCCCACTTGCTTGCTTACTTCAAGCCCACTTCAGCTCCTGGCAGCCAGCACCACCTGGCCAACCCCAGAGGCACCATTGGCTTGGGGAGCTTGTAGCCAGGGCTGCTGCAACGAACAGCTGTGCAAGCCATTGGGAGGCAGAGATGTGAGAGGGCATCAGAGGGAGGGAAAGAGGGACAGTGTTGCCCGCGGCACCCCTAACCATCATTCAAGGCACCCCAGGGTCCCACGGCACACTGGTTGAAAACCACTGCCCTAACACTGGATTATTCCTATATTGGATAAACCCGAATTTACAGGGGGGAAAGCATCACAATTGCTGTTGCTTGAGGGTAACATCACGTAGAGTAGACCATGCAACTTAAATGCAAACACACAGAAAACTCCAGTGTGGACAAGTGCTAGTGTTGGCTATTTGCAGATTAGTTGCACTGCAGAGAGCTTGCCGGGGAGACCACACATCACAAGGAATGCAAAATAACTTTAGCTAGGTTTTAATAACAAAAACAAAAACTCCTTTTACATTATAATATATCAATAAGCACGACCAATCCTACCCCCAGGGTACTGAGAGAGCTAGGTGCTGCTCTTTATATACTATACCCAATTGCTGACACAGCTTAATTAACACAACTTAACAACACCTGCTATACTGTTTCACAGCTGTAAAACTGGGTCACATTATTTGCTCTGGCCCTTAAATAAATACACATCTTGTGGAACAATAATGAACCTTCACATTTAAAGAGACCATTCAGCAGCTATAACTGTCCATGTAATGTATCTGATTTCGAATCCCTTGTATGTTCCTTTCCTGCTGGGATGCCTCAGGCCAACACAGGGTCCCTCCAGGAGACACGGGTTCTTGGGTTTGTGGTTTTTGGATGTTGTGAATGTAGGTGTTTGTGTAGGGAAAGGGGAGCCAGGCGAACTTCCCACTCCCATTGATTTTCGATTTTAGGTTGGCAGATTTTTCTTCTTCTGCCAGGTCTCTCAGCGATTGTCTTTTAAAAAGTTTTTGTTACCAAGTTATACATGTGGGGTGTCATGTAGATCGTTCTGTGCTGTGATCTGCCCAGCAACCTATAAGTGAAGGATGGGATCTAAATGCTGAAAATAAATCAATACCGCCCTCAAAAGACCCACCGTCTGCTCATCACTTTACACTGCATCAAACTTTTGCCAAAGCAGTTTTAATTCCAGCTAAGCTGCATCCCTGAAATCACTTCTGCTGGGAGAAAATACCCCAGGGTTGGGCAGAAGGAAAAAGGAGATTCCCTTCACATTCCTACTGCTTCACATTGCTTACCATCCACGCCTACAGAAGATGGATCATATCCTTCAACAAAATTCCGAATCTGTTTTACTCCGGAGAAGAATGACCGGCGTTCTGCCCATAATGTACAATCTAAAAAAGAGAAGACGTTGGGGGGAAATAAACGGTGCTCCAACAACCAACAGTCATTTGCCAGAGAATGGCAAGGCTCTTGTGGGATAACCAGCCTCCTATAACCAACATGTCTAATAATACATGAAGGCATTATATCACTCACACTCACCCTGGGGAGGGAAAAAAAAGTCAAGCCTATTGTTCCCTCATCTACCTTGTGAACGCCTGCATTTAAAGATGTCTGAGCTAGTTGCTCCAAGTTCAGAATGCATGATTTTCTACAAGCCATCCTTGTGTTCCTATAGCAATAACTTAGGAGCTTTCATCACTTTGGAACTAATCTAAGTTTTGCTGCCTATGTTTTCTTACTGCTGTATGCGAAAGCACATGAATTTGACCTTTGAAGAGTTTGTGAGTAAACCAATTTTAACTTACCAAATGTGTGGTCTTTTTCTATGCTGGATGAAGTGGGAAACTTTGGAAGGAACTGAAGAAGGGCATATTTTAAAGGTCTAACAGCCTATATTTCCACGCTTTACCAGGCTGCATATTTGTGATATTAAATCTCTGCTGGGGTTCTTGAAGCAAAAAGTAGTTGCCCCAAACCTGGATCTTGGCCTCCAGGGAATTCTCTTTTTATACCTATTTTTTCCTTCACAACCAGCAGCTCCATTCTCACTCCCAAGCCACAAATGCTAGGCCTGATTCTTAGTCAAGGCTTCCCATGTCCTAGAAATAATTTCCCCATAGGCTGATTCCATGCCATGGCTCAGCCCAAGGGGAGATGGCACATCATTGTTGATGACATCCAGATCTTCAGCCCCAAAAGATAGCCAGAGCACCAGCTCACAGAATATACAGAGTAATACTAAACAATGAACATGACAACAAAACATTGAGAATATAAATCCAGGCCTGAGCTTGGCAAATGATGCCTTCACAAGACTTTCATATAATAGTAATCATACTTCTTGAGTAAATCAACTACTGGAGGAATGATCTTCCCACTTTGTAAAGCTCTATGTTTATACCTATAGGTACTGTATTCAGCTACTGAACAGGATAATGGCACCCTCCATGGAGAGACATTCTGAATTTCACAAAATTGAAAAAGCACCTCAGAGCAGGGCTCAGAAGAACAAAAAGTTGGCTGTTATGAAACTGAACAGCTGGTTTTGAGGTGGGTGAAATGCTTGAGAAATAGTCCTTTTCAACCCAGCCCTAATTCACTCCATGAAGTCCTATTAGCCTGCAAAGCACAGAAAGTGTCTTGACAAATTATTTGAGAACAGAAAATGTGCCATTGATATCAACAGTAGAGATTTTAATCACATGTTTAGTTCACACACTGAAATCAATGGATAAAGAACCTTAGCAGAGACTGGATTATTCCTTCTCTTCACACTGAAGTAAAGGCCACCACAGTCATTCTGAAGTGTTTTATGTATTTGAAAAAGTTGAACTTACATAGACCGGCCATCATAACAGAGGCGAGAAACAGGAGGAAGAGAAAAAATACGACTACAGCTTCACCACGGGGCGTTTTAAAGAAACTCTTGTCTTCAGCTGGTGTTGCTTAAGAGGCAAGAGGACAGAAAATTCTGATTTAACAACCAGTGATTCATCCCACTCTCATCACAGTAAACAAGCTTTTCATACTTTTCATTTCTCACCTGGAGTACTGTGTCCAGTTCTGGGCACCACAGTTCAAGAAGGACACTGACAAACTGGAACGGGTCCAGAGGAGGGCAACCAAAATGGTCAAAGGCCTGGAAACGATGCCTTATGAGGAACGGCTAAGAGAGCTGGGCATGTTTAGCTTGGAAAAGAGGAGGTTAAGGGGTGATATGATAGCCATGTTCAAATAGATAAAAGGATGTCACATAGAGGAGGGAGAAAGGTTGTTTTCTGCTGCTCCAGAGAAGCGGACACGGAGCAATGGATCCAAACTACAAGAAAGAAGATTCCACCTAAACATTAGGAAGAACTTCCTGACAGTAAGAGCTGTTCGACAGTGGAATTTGCTGCCAAGGAGTGTGGTGGAGTCTCCTTCTTTGGAGGTCTTTAAGCAGAGGCTTGACAACCATATGTCAGGAGTGCTCTGATGGTGTTTCCTGCTTGGCAGGGGGTTGGACTCGATGGCCCTTGTGGTCTCTTCCAACTCTATGATTCTATGATTCTATTCTATGATTCTATTCTATACTCTGTGGCATTGCATCTAGATCAACAAGTGACAGCAAGCTTTCTAAGTCAATGGGGCAGCCAACTGCTCAGGGGCTGTATCCTTGCAAGGTCCAGCGCCAAGGGCCTTCTGGCGGTTCCCTCGCTGCGAGAAGCCAAGTTACAGGGAACCAGGCAGAGGGCCTTCTCAGTAGTGGCACCCGCACTGTGGAACGCCCTCCCACCAGATGTCAAAGAGAACAACAACTACCAAACTTTTAGAAGATATCTGAAGGCAGCCCTGTTTAGGGAAGCTTTTAATGTTTAATAGGTTATTGTAGTTTAGTGTTTTGTTGGAAGCTGCCCAGAGTGGCTGGGGAAAGCCAGCCAGATGGGCGGGGTATAAATAATAATAATAATAATAATAATAATAATAATAATAATAATTGCAAGGCTAAGTGGATGGAGGAAGCTAGTGTGAAAGCATGGTTTCTTCAGGACATGTATCTCTCTGTCTTCCCCGGGTGGCCTCAACAGACCAGAGAGATGCTATCTTACAGAGCAGCAGGGGAGCCAACATGGTGCTCCTTGTGACTCAGCTCATTTTGGAGGCAAATCTGTGGCCATGGTGGAATCTACACATGTATAAAAGAACGCTGCGAAGGGACTTCAGCGAGGGGGAAAGGAAACAAGGCTCACTATTGCAGCGAACTGGCTGCTGCTTTTGGGAGTTTGGGGGCAGCTTGTAGGCAACGAACCCCCCAAGGAAGGTCCTGGGGATGACCAGGACGTCATGAGTTCCCACTGAGGTCAAAAGCAAGCTCTCAACGGGTCTGTACAGTTCCAGTTGGCGCCATTGAGCTCAGATCTCTGGGCTTGAACACATTACAGCAGCAGGCTGCCATGGTGTGAACAGGGTGCTGGACTTGATGGGCCACTGGCTTTCTTATATTCCTACCCACCTTTAACCCTAAAGTCCCAGGGTGGGCAACAACAATTAAAAATGCAACAATAAAGACAGTTTATATGTTTGCAGCATAAGCATGTTCCTTACCTGCATCTTTCTTGGGAGCTGGATCTGGAAAATTACAATATATGTTCACTAGAAACTGGAGCTGGGCCAACATTTCCATAAATATTTCTTTTCACAGAATTATACCAGATAGCTTGGACTTACGGTAAGTCATAGTGGGCTTTATAGGTCACAACCAGTGCTTTGAATGGTGCACAGAAACAGACCAGTAGCTTCTGTGGGAGTGGGGGGCAGTTCATTGGAGATTTTTTTATGCTTTCCAAAACTTTTTGAGGATCTAAGGGAAGCCAGCCCCCCCCCCCGCCGCCCCCTCCTTGGCTATGCCCATGCAGCTGAACTGTTCTAACAAGGGAGTCATGTTCTCCTTATAACCAGCCCCAGACAGCAGCTCTTTGACTCAGTTAAAGTTTCCGAGCACTTTTCAAAGGCACGTTACAGCAATCCAATCGTGATGTAACTAAAGCACGTGTCACTGTGGTCCAATAATAATAACTCTCCCCTTCATTTAATTCCCACAAGAACCCTGTGAGGCAATCTCTTTGTGCAAGGCTTTTCATGTAGTCTGCATAGTTTTATTGTCCATTTCTGAAAAATGCAATTAGAAGAAGAAGAAGAAGAGTTTGGATTTGATATCCCGCCTTTCACTCCCTTTAAGGAGTCTCAAAGCGGCTAACATTCTCCTTTCCCTTCCTCCCCCACAACAAACACTCTGTGAGGTGAGTGGGAGTGGGGCTGAGAGACTTCAGAGAAGTGTGACTGGCCCAAGGTCACCCAGCAGCTGCAGGTGGAGGAGCAGAGACGCGAACCCGGTTCACCAGATTACGAGTCTTCCGCTCTTAACCACTACACCACACTGGCTCCTATTAATTTTTTTTTAAAAAAAAAGGAAGGAAGGAAGGAAGGAAGGAAGGAAGGAAGGAAGGAAGGAAGGAAGGAAGAAAGAAAGAAAGAAAGAAAGAAAGAAAGAAAGAAAGAAAGAAAGAAAGAAAGAAATGAAGGGGAAGGTGATGCTGATGAGCTTGTGGAAGTAGCAGCCCTCATAGCAGGACAGCTCCACGGAGGCACCCCTTTCCCATGAATGCTTCAGCTGAGATTCCTGCATTGCAGGGCACTGGACTAGACGACTCTGCAATTCTATGAGTCTATGATTCTATGATTCCCGTGTCAGTGTCTCTGCAGTTCACCTGCATGGGACTGGGGGTGGGGCTGGGGGGCAGCAATATCAGGTCCCCACGGGGAGCACTGGGTTGTTTCATTGGCAGGTCTTCACAGCACCCTTTCACAACTGTGACCATCTGAGCTTCATTGAAGCCTGTGGCTTAGATCATTTGTGTTCCTATGAAGAGGAAATAGTAATGGAAGGAACTTACCGGGTGGATTTTTAGGGGCCATTTGAATTGGTGTCTCATTTTCTTCTCTATATGTGGGACCATAAAGTAGATTGCTAAGTCAATATTTAAATTAAAAGGGGAGTCACAATGGGTTATTGCATAGACAGTGCTGGCATTGGGGACTCCCCCCCCCCCCAAAAAAAAATTAATATTATTGTAACCTGTAAATCACACTGTTAAGAAATTTGTGGGCACTTTTCATTTTCCTCTGACCTTGCGTTTCAGCCAAATCATTTCTATAAACTACTCATGATAACACAACATTTGTCTGTTAAAGTGGCATGTAGCCCACAATAGAACAATGCTACATGTGTTTGTAGTGCCAAATTAATATTTCTTGTTTTTGTCGCACAAGACTAACATGGCTACTCTGAAAACGTGGTTATCATAATGCCAATTCCTTCACATTTAACTGTGATTATTTAGAGCAGTTCCGTTTCTTTGGGGGTTCACTGTTCTTTCTGCTATCAAAAAAAAGAAATACACACATGATAAAAATTATATTGAAGACCTAGTGATCAAATTCCATCTCCTGATGCAAAACACAAATGTGACATTTATTTGTTTAAAACATGTATGTAACACTAATGTACAGTATAAAACACTTTTGAAAGGCTTGAGGATACAATTTAGAATCTGGCTATGTAGTAATAACATTTCCCTACCTTACATTGCTCCTTTTTGGATGTTGTGGCACCCTGTTACACTTGTCTTCTCTCCACCTGGGGTCCTTCTGTCAACAGCCTCACCCATCTTTCTCTGTGATGCAGAATGTTCCAGAACTTCCCTGATTCGCTTTCTTCCAGTCCCTGATTGGCCAAGTGCTCTGCCAGTTCAACAGTGGAGCCATTCTACTTGGCCCCTCATGCACCCTTGGAAAAGAGGAAGAAAGACTAAGCAGGGAAGTGAAGGGAGACAGCCAGGTGAGTGAGCAACACCTGGTGGAAAGAGGCAAGAGAGCTAGGATTGAGATATGCTTAGATAAGATCTGGGACACCGATTTTTTAAGAACTGACACCCATGTTAAGTTTTATGGTAACATCTTTGTGCTGCATCTTTGAATGAAGAATTCTATTGATTTGCCTTCATTAAATTTCCCTAAACGATTCTTAATGCAACCAGGCATTAGATTATATTGTATTTTGTACCTTCTTCTTTGTACTTCTTCATCGTCTACATCAGGGTCTCTCAAACTTGGGTCTCCAGCTGTTGTTAGACTACAACTCCCATCATCCCTAGCTAGCAGGACCAGTGGTCAGGGGTCATCTCAGAGTGCTGTCCATCTCTCCTTTATCTTATTTTATTACGAGTTTGCTCATTTCCTCCTCCTTCCCATCTTCGCTCCATTCTTGAGGATTCAGTTGAATGCAGCCTATAGAATTGAAGGAGGAGGATCCTGAAAGTTCTTTAGGCCAACTCCCTAGCTAATTTACAGCAGTTAAAAGATTGCAAGGTGCAGGTTTTCCCTTCAAATATATCTTTCAGACTCTACCAGCTGCTTGAAGTATGCACAAAGGGGAGGGGAGACATAATAGCACATCTTGGAGGCTGCATTTTAAATTTCATTTTAACCTGTATTTTAAATTGCCCCCCCCCCATTATGTTTTTACTGTAATTTTACTGTAATTTTATTGTTGTTAGCTGCCCTGAGCCTGGCTCTGGCTGGGGAGGGCGGGGCATAAATAATAATAATAATAATAATTATTATTATTATTATTATTAATGCCAACTTCGCGACATATGGAGAACTCATGTGACCGGTTTTCAAATGCTGCATTTGCCCTAAGATATTCTTTCTCCACTCCATGCCCTGCCCACATTATGTGATTGTAGGGAAAGAATAGAGAACAACAATCCACACTCAGAGACAGCAATCAAAATGACAACCTAAAATGGCAAAGGCGGGTAAGTTGTTTCTGGTCTTTTCCTCTTCCTTCTCACAAGCATGCAGGCCATTTTGTCTCTGGCTGCAGGTCCTCCCTGAGGAGGTGGTGGTGGCTCCCTTTTGCCCCATTGCCTCTCAAGGGAGGGATGTGCTAGTAGAATGCTAAGCTGGAGCTTCTCTGCTCCCATTTGGGCCCCAAGGGAGCTGATTCTTTAAGGCAAACATGAATCATAGAATTGTAGAGTTGGAAGGGACCCTGAGGATCATCTAGTCCAACCCACTGCAATGCAGGAATATGCAGCTGTCCCTTACGAGGATCGAACCTGCAACCGTGGCGTTATCAGCACCATGCTCTAACCAGCAAACGGGGCACTTCCCCACCACCGGGCTGCCTTCAACCAGCCCCACCTACCTGCCTCCCTTCCTGTTACTCTTGCTAGAAAAATCCAACCTGTGCCATTAATAAAGATAGTGCAACTCGTACAGCACATTGGCGACAAATATTCACACAACTGTTCAAAAATAATTTTACACTCATTTTTTCATTGTTTTTTTAAATAAGTTCAAGGAGATTCAAGGAAAGGGTAAGGTCAACGTTGTTCCCAGTTTCTGTGAGGTGCTGATGAAGCAGCATATGGAGTAATAAAGATGACAGGGTGTCAGCGTTCTATCCCCGTTTCGCCCTAGCAGTCCATGCAGTTGAGGGGCTGCTGTTTTGCCCCAGTGGGGCCGATTTGTTGGGGTTGGCGGATAGCACACTCCCTGAGCACAGTTTTATGGGCTTCTTCAGTTGTCTTGTGCCATTGATGCGTCTACTAGTGCTAAATATCTTTGAAGAGACAATTTCTTGGCTTAAACATTGTTGTTGTTTAGTCGTTTAGTCGTGTTTGACTCTTTGTGACCCCCTGGACCAGAGCACGCCAGGCACTCCTGTCTTCCACTGCCTCCCACAGTTTGGTCAAACTCATGCTGGTAGCTTCAAGGACACTGTCCCACCATCTCATCCTCTGTCGTCCCCTTCTCCTTGTGCCCTCCATCTTTCCCAACATCAGGGTCTTTTCCAGGGAGTCTTCTCTTCTCATGAGGTGGCCAAAGTATTGGAGCCTCAGCTTCAGGATCTGTCCTTCCAGTGAGCACTCAGGGCTGATTTCCTTCAGAATGGATTGGTTTGATCTTCTTGCAGTCCATGGGACTCTCAAGAGTCTCCTCCAGCAGCAGAATTCAAAAGCATAAATTCTTCGGCGATCAGCCTTCTTTATGGTCCAGCTCTCACTTCCATACATCACTACTTGGAAAACCATAGCTTTAACTATACAGACCTTTGTTGGCAAGGTCTCTGCTTTTTAAGATGCTGTCTAGGTTTGTCATCGCTTTTCTCCCAAGAAGCAGGCGTCTTTTAATTTTGTGACTGTCACCATCTGCAGTGATCATGGAGCCCAAGAAAGTAAAATCTCTCACTGCCTCCATTTCTTCCCCTTCTATTTGCCAGGAGGTGATGGGATCGGTGGCCATGATCTTAGTTTTTTTGATGTTGAGCTTCAAACCATATTTTGTGCTCTCCTCTTTCACCCTCATTAAAGTGGCTTAAGCATACAAGACTGAATAGCCGAGTCAAGAATTTGTAAGAACCTAGTAAAATCTGATATTGCAAGTTCACTTTGTTTTAGGTAGTTTGTAAGTTTTTGTGGCACTTTGTAAGCAACTGTCTCTTTCTCACATATTTGAGAAATGGTGTAAAATTATTTGTGAACAACTGTGTGAATATTTGTCGCCAACGTGCTGTACGAGTTGCACCCCTTCCTGTTACAGCCAGTCCACTGGAGTCCCAGTGTCACCCTGGTAGAACTCCCCAGGGAGGAGGAATGTCATGGACTGGCTGGATGCAGGGGGTGGCGGGAGGTACCAACTAGTGAACTGCCAAGGGAACAAGGCTCAGAGCCAGGGGGTTGGTGGTGGGATGATGATGAGTGGTCAGAGGGAGAAGAGGGAGCAGACGGGGAGAAGGAGGTATTGAAAGCTGAAGAGGCAACAAGGTTTAGTGAGCAAGAAGAGGCTGTGGCAGAGAGCAGTCCAGAATCAGGGGCAGAATCAGAGGCAAGTGGAGGTGGCCTGGGGAAACCCTATGGTGCTGAAGGTGGTTGGGAAGGGAAAGGGGGGCTGGAGAGGATCAGGCAGTGGTAACCCTAATCTTCCTGGGCAGCAGTGAGCAGCATGTTCTTCAGGGGCCCAGGTCTGCCACCATTTTCAGGTGTTCATAGGCTGCCACCTGAGCCGATGTCCTCCTCAGGGCCAATGAGCAGGCTGACCCTGGTTTAAAGGGTATTTTGTTATCTATGTAACTTTCATGGTATTGTTTAGGTATTGCTGGATGCGGCTCCATATTGATAAGCATGTATACATTAAGCTTCCATTGCTCTTTTTCAGATATAAAGGGGAAAGGGAAAAAGAACCTCCCGCAACGTAAAAAGCCCGAAACTGCTGCCAAGAAAGCACCAGCAGAACCAGCAGCCAAGGGTCTGTAGGCTCCAAAGCACATGGAAGGAAATTCCAGTGGGGGCACCATAAGAAAAACAATTGTGGGGTAGGGAGGCATAGATGGGAGAAAGTGTATTTCTAGACAGGTGTGTCCCACATGTTACAATTTCCGAAAGGGAAGTCATGGTATGTTTCCTGCTAAAACTGCCATCCTATATTATCCCCCCCCCCAAAAAAAAATATATATATGATATATTGTTTAAGAGAGAGAGGGAGAAAATTAACCAAATTCATATTACAGTATGGGAATATGAGGTAGGGTATCTACACAATCATTTCTTTGACATTTAACATTTTTCATAAAATCATAGAGTTGGAAGGAACCCCAAGGGTCATCTAGTCCAGCCCTCTGCAATGCTGGAATCTCAGCTAAAGCATCCATGAGAGATGGCCATTGAGCTTCTGCTTAAAAAGCTGCCTGTGCCTACAGCTTGTTGTAATCATTAACAGGAAGAAGAGGAATGAGGTTCACTGCCTTGAGGTCCTTGGGAAAAGGTCACACAGAATCACAGAGTCAGAGTCTGAAGGCACCCCAAGGATCTTCTAGTCCACCCCACCCTCCCACCCCTGGCACTCTGCAATGCAGGAATTTGCAGGTGGCCCGTATAGGAATCAAAGCCCCAATAGTGTGTGCACGTGCATGCGCATAATGGATTTGGCGCTGTAGGTCACAGACTTCCAAGCCATTCACCTCCTTTCCATCTGGTCCTTCTTCCCAGGACTTCAAGGCACAACTCTTCCTTTTCCTTTCTCACCATAGCAACACTGTGAGGAAGGTTTGTCAGAGATGATGATAACTGTGGGAGCGTTGCTTTTGCTAAGAGGAGGCAGGTATCGAGACTCCAAGTAAGTGCATGTTGTGCAGTGCAAAGGATTTGGTACAGGCTTCCTGGCCTGCTGTGGAGTTGCCTGCAACTGAGGACTGTGATCCTGCTTAGCTATTGGGCGCCTAGTCAGCTCTCCAAAGAGAAAGCTGTTGAGAGCCTAGGTGTCCCCCTAAACTAGTGGTGCAGAACCTCTGGCCTGCGGGCCAATCCTGGCCCACCAAGGAGCCCAGTTTTGCTCAAGATGGCTTCCCCCCCAAAGCCACATCCACTTGTCATCACTATGATGGGCAGGGTGTGGAGTTCTGTTTTGCACTGACTGTGCCCATCGCTTCCCTGCGGGGTGGTAAAAGTAAGGTTTTCTGTCCTCTTGTCCTCTAAGGTAAGACCGACGATCTTTGGAAACGGGGAGTAACGTGGGTCAACTCCCCTGTGGGTAAAGCTGCCGCCGCATGCGCTGCCACGATCCTCTTGCTCGGAACAGTTGCATTGGTCACAGTGTGTAAG